TTGTGCTTCACTCCCATTCACCCTCCCAGAGGTGACAGTGGTCAAGCTGCAGCTCCTGGGAGAGGTGTAAAATACCTCCAGGACAGTGATAGGAATGGATGCATGGGGCAGAGCACAAAGCCGTGGATCTTTTGTAGACCTATGCAGGGAGCAGCACTGCAAAACAGAGTGAAGTAGATGTAATATAACATGTCTGTCAGGAAATGCATAGGCAGTCAGAAGCAGGGGGTGAAGGGGATATCATACAGGTGGAAAGTTTGCTGACTTATTCAAACAAAGAGAAATCCCGAGGTGTCTTAGGCACCCAAGATGTGCCAGACACTGCTTTTGTCTCTCAGAGAACTGGGTCCCTCCTATTTCAGAGGGTCAATTTCTTTGGCTTTCTCTTACCCAGAGCTGAGACAGGAACACTGTCCCATATCACACTGAAGGGGATGGAAGGCCCCATTTTGATGATTCAGGCAGTAGCCATCATCCTTTTTCTTCACCACCCCCACTGGCTTCAGTGCAGGTCCTCCTGATTTACACACCTGACCATCACAATTGACTTCAGTCCTCTATCCCCTACAACCATTTTCAGCTGGGGCACCTAAGAACAGCTTGTCTTGGCCAAACACTGTAGCGAGGTTACTGGCACCTCAGAAGGGATTCTTTATAGAACATCACTTAAACCGATTTTATTTATTTTTAACAACGTGATTCATTCTGCCACCTTCATCCTTTCATTGTCTGACAAAAGCTAAATGTTGGGCCTAACACTATCTGAACGCCCCTTAAAAAAGCTGGATTTCAATCTAGTGATATATCAGTAGTGAGAAAGCTTCCTGGTGTTAATTTTAAAGCACTGGTATTTCATGCTGACTTGGGAAATCATCCTTGGTTTTTGGCATCAGGCAGAGGACTTGTAAAGTGACATTAACAGATCTACTTTCTTTGAAGGACTTGGGAGTCATTTCTTGACTTCTTCCTAATGAATAAGTGCTGCCTTCGTTAAATTTATATTTATGGCCATATAGTAGGTCATTGGCTTGTTTTATGTCTCCAGGTTTATGGAAGGTTATCTGCCATGGTCACCTTGTGGCATCTTGGCCAGCATCGTCTTGCAAAGAGACAATTGTATCTGAGCAGGATTTTTCCCATGGAGATATGGAAATGATCAAATTAATATAGAGGCAATGTCCAGGGATAAGGCTCATGCCCTGAGCTGCCAAATTAAGTTACTGTTAGCATCTGTTTTCACAGTACACCTTTAGTTTGCCCTGGCAAGACCAGATCCTCAGCTTCTGCAAAGCAGCAAGGCTACATGGACTTCAGTGAGGCTGACGTGATTGATAGTTGTCCTCTGCCTTCTCAGAAGCCTCTCTGATTCTTTCACATCACCAGCTGATTCTCAGTGTGTGCATTACATCACTTTTACTCTCTTGAATGTCTCTATGTTGGACATAAGATCTCCATGAGTCTGACAACAAGGAAAGGATTTCAGATGTTATCTGTGGGCACATTTGAACAGTCACAAGCACATCCAAGGTCTTTTGATATTACAACTTAGAGACATACTAGTTCTGGTCCAGAAGTCCCTTTAAGATTCTTTATGATATCCATGTCCCTCATCTAGTGTCTCCTATGTCCCTATTACTCAGTTAATTACCTTCTGGGTAATGGTGGGTTTACACCCTGGCACAGACAGCATGCAGAGGAACTGAGGTCTGTTCCCTGTCCTACATGTCTGTGTTCAACTAATATTTGCAGTAACAGACAAGACTGGCCAGCTGGATAGGGAGAAAAGGCGGCTGACACAGGGTAACTCTCCTACCTTAGTGGAGCATGATCTGTATGAAGGCCACAGGGGTGCACACCCTACTAAGTTATGTGTATATTATGGAGGAATAAAGCAACCTTCCATCATGGTCTCCTTGTGCTGAAACACAGAAATGATTCATGTCTCCCCATCACTTTGAAGCTTAGCATGTGGTGTGGTCCAACCTACATTCACATGTAACCCCCAGGCCACGTTGGTTCTGGATCATGAGTCCCTCGTACATCTGAGCCCTTGCCGAACTGCTCATGGGTCATTAGTATGTAGGAAGGCTGTCACTTTACTGAACAACACAGCCACAACTTCCTCAAATGTCTAATTTGTGTCTTGATATTTCTGAATCAACACCAACTGTTGGCTTCATCCACAATACAGCTGGGAGTGCAGGCAGTTATGCCCTTCACTAGGTTTAATTAGTCTGGCAGAGTGAGCAGCTACATGAAGATATGCTTATGGCTGCTCAAGCTACATTGGCTTTGTGCTGGGGGACCCAGCTAGCCCTGGAGTCTGTGTCCCTGCACCATTATAGGTTGTGTTGGTTGTCATGGATGCATCCACTGTTCTGAAGTCACATCATCCTTTTCTGAGTAAAAACACTCTTCAAGATAAGGAAGATGAGTCCTCCAGTGAGAAAAGGTCATCCCTTTTGTCTTCAAGACCTCTGAGGTCAAATTCCTGCAGGTGGTGACTCACCAAAACTCTTTTCCCAAAGAGCCAAGATAGGGTATGAGACTACAGGTAAAACAGAGAGCCCCAAGCCAGGGTTTGCTGCCTCCCCATGCTGTCTAGTCTTGCAGCCCAAGGATGCATTCAGCTCACTCCTTTTCAAGGACATTCAGGGATGGTGGGGTCAGTGTTAGTGTCCTGTGTGTTAGACCAGCCACTTTGCATCTTCTTTAACTATGAATAAGTGATTCCCAGCTTGGAGCAAAGCTGACTGAAACCAGGGGAGAGTCTTTCCACTGGCTTGCATGTGCTGTGAGCCAGGAGGAAATTTCCTGCATGGTCTGGGGCACAAGGCAGCCTCCTGAGAAAGAAAGACATGGTTAGATACGACCCTTGCTGACAAGTCGTTAAGACTCAGGAAGTTAATGAACTCTAAAAGCTTTGCGTGGGAGGGAAGAAGGATGCATTTAAAAGCCTCTTGTCCCAAACCCTTTAAATAAAGCATTTGTCCAGTTTTAATATTTAATCTTAAAGGTGAACCATGGTTTTCGGTGTCTATTTCCCAGGCAGAATGGCTTAGTTATGAGGGGCAGAGTATGGCTCCAAAGACAGGCAAGATATCCACAGATAGGATAAGGATTGCAGCTCTGCAGTGAACAAGGTGGTCCTGCTCAGGACATAGAATCAGCTGTAGCTGGGAGAGTGGGCAGTTCCCACATGTGTCCAACTCAGGCAAGAAATAAAGGAAAAGACCGCAGTCAGGCAGATACTGCTCAGTAACTTCTCCCATAACAACAAAGAGGCAGTTATTGCTAATTATCAGCATGACAGAGAGAGAATGAACATGCCTGAGTCCAGCCTCAGCTGGAGAGGAAGGAATTCTGTGTATATCTCCTGAACAGCGGAGGCAATTTCTTCTTCTAGCTCTATAAACAGATGAGAGCAGCCAAGGAAGGGCAGTTGCCTTTGAGGCAGACACAGTAGATCATTTCTTTTACCGTAGACTGCAAAACCATAGCTGCTTATAAAGATTCGCTCCCTTTACCACATGTCCCCTCACCTTCCTCAGGAGATATCTTCCACATGACAGGACCTAGTGATTTTGCGGGGTCCTAGTTATTGTGATCCATTCTCCCAAAGGGGTGCAGGAACTGATGTATCACTCAACCTTTCACAGCTGTTCAGTTTTCTTCTGGAGCAATATGCTTAACATTCTGTTTTTAGAGGAAAAGAGTTTTGAGCAGAGGTTAAAAAGAATAGATTTTAGTTGTTTCCTTCCTCAAGGAGGAAGGAATAACTGGAAAATTTGTTTATATTTTCCAAGCATTTCCTCCAGTTTACTGGAGCATCTATGCTTTAAAAATGTAGCTTTGCATCACTACTACACCTTCCACTGATCTCCCAGAGGTTTTAATGCATCTTCCTCACACCAATTTTCAAGGGGTGAAAATCCTTAGAGTAGGGCAATGCTTTCACATTTCACATACACACATATGGAAGGATCTGCCAAAAGTCAGCCAGGAAATCAACCAACCAAATTCCAACTTAAGACTGAGATCTCACTTATTTCTTCTTGTCACTAGCCCATCCTCAAAGCCCTCATGATCCATAATGCCCATAATGAACAGCAGCCTCCAAATCTTAGACAGCTATTTGGGTTTATCCCCTCCAAATTTGGTCTTCCCATCATTCCTCCTTGTATTTTGGGAGAAACTTGGAAGGAAGACCTTGCAAGCTTCCATCATGATCGATTGTGATCTTTGAAGTTAAAGCTCAAGCTGGCATTTGCATCTGTAAGAAAACATTTTGTCCATGTTCTTGTGTTGGTAACACTCATGTTTGCCAACCTTCCCTATACTTTGGCATACAGTCAGTGTTTCTCCTTGGATAGGTCAATGGCACCAGATTTCCTTCCAAGAGGCCCACACCTTTCCATCCTCCAAGCCCTTGCCTCCAGCCACACCTCTGTTCTTGTAAGAAAGAAGATAGCTCCCCTCCAAGCAGCACCTTCTCTCTCACAGAGGGCTACCTGGCAGCAACACAGTCCTTCGAAGGGATGGCAGGATGGCAGGAGCCACTGCTTTGTTCTCTTCTTCCTCCTGCTATGCCCCTGTTGTTTTCTGCTCTGATTGAAAGTTTCCTGTGGCTGTATCTGTCACTAAGATCTGAGTTTGCACAGCACCTAGCACAGTGTCAGTCCTGGCGTAAGATGAGGGCTTTTTGGGGTTGATTACTGTAATGCCAAAAATCCACCATGATCAGAGGTGGGCTCCATAATTTAAGCTTGGGAAAGAAGGGGAGAGATTTGTCTGCTCTCTGGACCAAAGTCTCACAGGGTGACAGCTAGGGGACAGAGTCCTCCTGGCCATCATGCGGGGGTCTGTGCAGTCCTGTCTGTAAGGTGAGCAAGCTGCTCTTTTGGGACCTGCAGCCCCTGGGTTTCGATGAGAGAAGAGAAAAGGAGAGTGCCTGCCATGTTTTAACCCCTTAATTCCTTCTGTCTCTTGTGTCTCCACAGCACAGAGCCCCACTGCAGCAGACCCCTTGCAGCAAGCCTACGCTGGAGTGCAGCAGTACGCAGGTCGTTAGTATTAACACTTTCTCCCAGTAAAACTTTCTATTCTCTAAAGACTTTAATCTCTGAACACACCTGAAGGGGGCTGGGGGAAGAGAGGTGTTTGCTGATACAGGGGCCAGCTGGGGGCCACAGACTCTCAGATAAAATTTGCACTCATTGTGAAAATAAAAACATAAAGCCCAGGGTCTTCTGTCCCTAAGGATGCAACCTCCTCCCTTTCCCCTGGGAAAGGCTTCCACTGACCTGTACCTCCATACATCTTCTTTGACAGTACCAGGTCCAGTCTGCTTAGCACAGTGTGTAAGCATAAAATCAGGCCACTGATTTGGAGGGCAGTTTCTAACATAGGTCTCCTGAGTGCTGCAGTGAGGAAGGGAGATGGGCAAGCAGTCCCTGCAGAGGTACTGCTGCTGTGCCTGGCAGGGTGTGCTACGTCTGCTCATACCTATGTTTTAGGGTATGTCTACACTGGCCATACCCCAGGTAGCTAGTTTGAGGCTTGCTTAGGAGCTACACAGACATACTACTGGCTTCCCAGCAGCTTTCTCCATGGCTCCCAACGGGTCAGCCTCCACTCGCTTAGCCCTGTATGCTGAGCACCTCCTTTGCAGTTGATGGACTGACACCAGCCAAAGTGACCTGGTGCAGACCATGACCCCACCGTGTTCAGCCTCCCCTCGTGAGGTGTCCATGGCCAACTTTGCAAGGAAGCTGCCACCCCAAAGTCATTATTTCCTGTGGTAACTGGAGCAATCATGGGCTCCCGCTGAGGAATGGCTATTATCTCATGTCAGCTCTGTATCTGGAAACTTAATTTAATTCTCCATGTAGGGTTTCATTTGCCGGTGTTTTAGTTATTGTCATTTATTGCTTGTGAGGTTTGATAGATGGGAAGCAGCTCAACCCTTTGAGCTGTTAATTAACCCCTCTGCACACACATGGCCCCTATCCCCCTCTCTCTGGGCTCACAGACGACCCGTACTCTGTATTTTTAGCAGCAAGGCACATCATCTACCATCTGTGGTACTGAATGGCTCCCCTTGTCTGCTTAGTGGGGGAGCTGAGGTGGGGAAAATTGTTTAATAGCTGCACACTGTTTAGACTGTGTTTGTGTGAGAGAGAGAGGAAGTCTCTATGGACATGACAGAAAATTTATATCTGGGAGTGTATGTGCAACTGTGCCTATAGGATGTGTGGGCATATGAAGGTTAGAGTAAGGGAGGAAACACACATATGAACTGTTTATATAAGCATGTGAATTAATCAGCATCCAAGAGAGATTACACAGGGAAACATGTGCATGCGCTCTGTGCGTGACTGTCAGCATGGGCATCAACGCGCTGAGCTCATGAATGAACGTGTTTGTGGTGCCATCTGGGATGGTTACGCATCTCTGCTGGGAAAGAGCTCAGCAGGGACCCCCATTTACACTGCATGGCTGTCCCTGGTGTTACTGCTGATGAAGCTGAAGGGAGGGTGGGTGCTCAGGGCCATGTGGCACTTCCTGAAGCACGACCATGCTGCTTCTGACACATCTCAGGCTGCACAAGGTGGCCCTTTACAGAGCCAAAATGCAGTGGAAAGACAACCTCTAGCTTGGTATGTTTTGGAGTGAAAGCTTCTTGTCTGCCAGCACTGAAATCTGTCCCTCTTTCTTCTCTCCCTTTCTCTCCCCTGTAGCTGCTTATCCTGCTGCTTATGGCCAGATTAGCCAAGCGTTCCCACAGCCACCTCCCATGATCCCACAGCAACAGAGAGAAGGTGAGTAAATGGGCTGCCCTCCTTTCTGGCCCCAGCACACTATTCCCACAACATTGGTTCCCCTCCTCATACACTTAGGGAGTATCCATTAAATGCCCAATTGCTTTGAATCCCTGGTTCACTGAGTCTTTTCTCCGTTTCCATATGTGGAACAGCATCATTGGCACTAACAGTAATATACAGGAACATCTTCATGGGGCATCACCGCTGAGATATCCTCTGTCCCCAGGGAGAGGAGAATGCTGATTTGCATGGGTCATGGAAAGTCCTGCTAGCAACATAGCCAATAATGCCCAGTGGGGTGTCTGTGTTCGAGACAAGCAACACAAATGCAGAAAAAAAAAATAATGAATTTGCATTGGAATAAAGAACTTAATATGAAACAAATCTCTCGTGGCCCTTCTTTAGAAGCCAGTAACGTGATTTCAGACACCTGCCATTTAGAGAATGAGGACCTGCTATTTAAAAGAGCTGATCTAGTCGTTTCAGCCTCCTTTGATAATCTGGAAACAGAAATCAGCCTTTTAGAGCACAATCTCTGTATCAAGATGAGATGAATCATGTAGTAAAAGTACCTATTTTTTTTACATTAACTATGAGATGAGCCTTGGTCGTCTAGTCTGCAGGACTGAATGGCTTCACCGGAGACATGAAAACAAGAGGTGAATCTCCTACTATTTCATGTAAATCTTTGGGAGTCCACCATGCCATGTAAAGTTCCCTTTACAGTCAGCAGGGAGTAGTGGGATCCTCAGAGGAAACCCACTCTAGTAGTCCCAGTTGTCCACCAGGGAGTCCACTGCTCTCTTTTGACAAGAGGGGACTGCTTGCCTAAGTGAGACATTTAAATCAAGTGTTTCAGATTAGTGTAGATAGCCTCATTTTAAATAATTACACTTCAACTTTCATCCTCTGTTAGATCACTGCTTCAGATATATTCTATGTTATATGTTATTATATATGTGTACAATAACATTGAATATTTTAATATAGTGTAACAGTCAGAATGAAATGAATCAAGATTACACTATCAAACTAAAACATTCTGACAGCCTAGAACTACTTTGGGGGAAAAAACTAATTTTGTAAGAAAATTAGAAATGTCAGCATTTTGATCTAATTTGGAATTAATTTTTTTCTGATGTCAGAATTTCCTGGGGAACACAACTTCCAGCTCCTGATTAGCTCTAGTACATGTCCCTGCTGTGAGAACAGATGCACAGACCTAACGTATCATTACAGAGATGTTTCCCCCATGCTGAAGGACTTTGCTTTTTATTACTTACTGGGGCTAGATTAAGCACAGGACAAAATGGCGAGCAGATCATTGCTCAGCATACCATTGTGCCAGGAGCCATCAGGAGCAAGGGATGGCTGTTGTGCACACCTTGAAGACCAACTGCCCCGAGCCCCCTGTGTTTGCAAGCCATAATGTGTCTCTATGGGTTGAGGGTGAGTGTCACCCAGTGGACAAGTTATCTCATAACTCCTCGCTCCTTCCTGCAAGTAGCTGGTGTTGAGGATGTTTGGGGGCCAGATATATGAGATGGACAACCAGTCCAGCGCAGGCTGCTGTTCACTGTGTCCTCCATTTTCCTGCAGTGTTTAGATGTTATGGCTTTCTCTGCTGCTTGCTAGAGGGAGAATCTCTAAGGCACAGTGCTCCCTTTTAGCAGACGGTCAAGACCTTTAAGAATCTCTAACCTTTAACAGGAAAACACAGCAAGAGAGAAGTCTAATAATAATAATGCTCAGTGCTGAGAAGAGTACTTTATGTTTGCAAGGATGTGCACAAACATTGATTCGTTAATGAACCAGCCCTACCACAACAATAACATCAATGATCACATTGTTAATAACAATGCTAACTCTCTGCTCCCAGATCCCAGTTGGATAACAAGCCCAGAGCCGCTTGGCTGCTGCAGTGTTCCTGTTAGAGATTAGTCATTACTTCCACATGAGCGCTGAGGCTGCTGGCAGCTGACAGGGTGCATAGGGTGGAACAGATCCAAAACAATCAAAGCTAGAGATGAAGTCTTGATTCATGTCAAACAGGCAAAACTTGGGGGTAATTTTAAATATGTATGGTATTACTCATCTTGACATAGTTTCTGAAACCCAGAAGTACACTTAGATATTAAAGTGGTGCAAGCTTGTGACTCTCATCTGCCCTGGTTCAAACATGCTGAGGACTGAATAACAAGAAGACTCAAAAGAGGCAAGGAAATACCAGCCTCTGAGTATTTGCTGTAGAGGTGAGGTGTGCAGCTGACCAAAGGGCTGCAGGCTAACTTAATACAACCTTACAGGACAGCCCATTTTTAATTACTTTTGGAAGACCAGTCTAGTCATAGCCTTTCTTTATGACACCAATTCCCAGTGTAGGGGATGCAATGATAGATAGCTGATGTCAGCACAGGTATATGGAGTTTCGTCATGTTGACAGTGGACACAGAGGCATAGGTTGGTTCTGCAGCTATCTCCGTGCTAAAACCTAACAATGAACTGGACAGTGAAGAGCATGGGCACAGCAATGGCTTAGCAGCTCAGGTCAAACCAAGCCGAATCTACATGGACCCACCATACAGTTCTCTACCAGGTGCTTCTGTGCTTTCATTTTTTTTAATGTTATCCAACATGGTTTGTATGTAATTTACAGACCATTCATAAACTGTGCATTTCTTAAAACATTTATTTCCTTTTTCTCCGACTCAAGGCTATTGATGCTTCCTGTGTATTAATGAACAGAAATATCTATAACTTAAATCCATAAAACCAAGAGCCATGGTAGATGTCAGGATAGAAATGAACCTTTATTCTCTTCTTATAATATGTCATGAGGGTTAGATTTTGAGCTGACTTACAGTCCTTTTGAAAACCAAACTAAAGTATGTGGTAAATAAATTTAGTACCGTATTCAGCTCTAAGCTGCCAAGTATACTGATCTCCAATAATCCATTAACTCAGGCCAAAACAAGACCTTTCTCTCCAACAAGATAGTTGGAGTCTTCACTAAGGTTTTGCCGTAGCAGCTGCGAAGTTCCTCTGGCTCCAGAGATCCTGAATGAGTCCCTTAAAACTCAATGCATTTGTGCAATGAGAACTAACTTAGTTCTTCATAGCATTCTGAACTGAACAATTCATTCCTTTGGTTTCTTAAAAGAAATAATAGATAGATAGACAGATAGATAGATAGATAGATAGATAGATAGATAGATAGATAGATAGATAGATGATTGATAGATAGATAGATAGATAGATAGATAGATAGATAGATAGATAGATAGAGGCAGCCATCCACATAGTCTTCCGTGGAGTGCCCAGATTAACTTGACTCAGGCAAAAATAAAACCCAAAAAAACCAAGATAGAAGGGCTGCAGCAGACAAATCTTCTTTTGTGAATTATTTACCAAGGAGTCTGTGTTATTTAACTCATGGATGGATAGATTTTACAAGAAATTTTTTGTTAATTTTCATACGTGGGGATGGTAGAAAAATCAAACCTACCCCAGGGTGTTTCTCAGTAGCAGGTGGAGTTTTCAACATTGGAAATTAGCAAGAACCCTCTGTCGCTGGGAATAGAGTAAGTTTGGCCTTGAACGTCGGAATTGGTATGGGAAGCCACAGCATGGGTTTCCCAGCCACATTTTGGAGCTGAACTGGGCTTTCAGAATGGTCTCTGATTTTTCACATCCTCCCTGGTCTATTCTTCTTGGTCTCTGAGCAGTGTGAGGCAAAACAGATTTCAAGGTGAACTAAGAGTTGTCCTCTGCTTGAGCCCAACCTCTAAACCTGGTGTAGATGAAGTTGTGTGCCTCCTGGTCTACCTTATGCCTTCATAGGTGTTTCTCAGCACATGCAGGCAGAATCCCTACTCATGCACAAGCTGTCCAATACCCCAGGAAATGCAGCTGGTATATTTGAAAGAATTTGCCAGTTTTACAGAGTAAACTGCTGGCTCTGGTGATGTCAGTGGGAATTTTGCCACTAATTGCAGCAAAGCCAAGATTTTACCCATTCTATTATAATGTGGATCTCAAATCCCACAGCAGAAGTGCTCTGGGGCATGTTCAGATGAAGGAATGATTTTTTTCCCTGCTATTCTGGACCATGGTCTTCTCCTGGGCAGAATTTTCTCAATTCTAACAGACACCTAAGGGGGTTGGTGTTTGTTTAACACTTTCAGACTGTTTCATATCTAGTTTATTGTGCCAGTAACCACATTGTGTGGAAATGAACTGCAGCAAGGACTGGAGAAGGGATAGTTTCTCAGTGAGGATACTAAGGAGAGTCAGGCGGGAGATGGGGGAAGATGGAAAAGCTTGGCATGAAATAGGAGAACCTGATTGTAGGCCACAGAGGTTCAAAAGTAATTTAGCTAAGCAGATGACCGGGTGCCTAATTAGTTAATTATCCCACCATACCACTATCCCCCCCATTTGGAAGAAACCTTGTTACCATCCTCATGACCTCTAGGAAATGCACAAGATGCAAAGGATCAGCTGTTCCTTCATGACAGTCCTTTTAGCAAATTAGTGGGGAAAATTGTGCTTAGCAAATATTCATTAGGGCTTCATTTTCCATTAATCCAAAAGGAAATGTGGAGAGCCTGTGACTTCAATCACGCTGAGACCCAGGAATTTTAATGAGCTTTAAATGGGCATCTGTCAGAATCCTGACTTCGCCGTACTTCTCCTGCCAGCCGGGGGGATGAGTAATGGCTAATAAAAGGTGGGAGCATCTAGGCGAAATCCTCTTCTAACAGGAAAGGCAAAGTTGTAATTTGCTGTGTTATGACACCATAATTATGCCCTGATGAAGAAAACGACAGTATTAAAAAACCCTTTCTTTCCCCACTCTTTGCCCCAGACATAAGTGGGGGAAAATTGGCTGAGGAGGTAACTATAGGGACATGGTCTGGAGGGAAGGAGGAAACCCTCCTTCCTTCTGCCCTCTCACCCTTGCAGCAAGAAGCATGCACTGTACTGCCTTCATCTCAACCCCCTTTAGCAAAGCAGAGCTGGAGTTACCTGTTGAGGTCAGTGCAGAGCTGGGTAGCAGGTGGAAGTACCTTTGGAAATAAGACCATGAAGAAAACAATCCCTGCCTCACCAAACTATACAGTTTTTCTGCTATTGAACACTGCAACGTATTTAAGTGTGGGCTTTTATCAACAAAACCACTTGGACACACCTGTTCCCTTTTGAATTTTGTTCAAGTTCAGCATGGTTGAAAGTAAGTTACATTGAAAAATTTCATTCTAGGCTATTTGACCAGAGGCAGGTTCTCCCTCTTCTGCCCCAAAATACAATTTCAACAGAACATTTGCTGAGGGTCTTTAGTTTAACAAAACTGCATATTCCAACTAAAGATTTCTCTCTGGATAATTTTCCAAGCACCCTCTGAAGTCTATAAGAGTATATGCTACAACACTGGGGGAAAAAAAAAAAGCACAATTCTTCTTGTCTAGTAATTTGGGTTTAAATCCATCTGTAATGTCTCTTACAGAACCCTCTGGAATGGGGGACATGGCCAAATGGTCCAGATCTGGGGGAGTCTTCAGGATGAGTTGAGCTGGGGGGTTGAATACAAAATTCTGCAAAACAAAATAACCCTGTGGGTTTGTGTATATCTTTCTACTTGTTGTCACATTCCTTAGACAGATACAAGAAGGATAATGAAACTTCTGCATGCAGACACTGAGAAGAGGCAAGGGTTAGTGTGGGTCACCCAAAACTTTATAGATTAAATGAGATTATGAGAAGCAAAGAAAAACTATGAACTGCATTCTTTCATTCTTTTTGTTCTTATTCCTCTATTCAGTCTTTCCATGGCCACATGTGCTGCTGCCTTCCTCTGTCTCTAGATTTTTATCTTGGTGTCTGTCTGGGAAGGTTGATGAAGTTAGCATAGCCTCCAGGTGACTTTCTGAGTTCCTGGTCTTCTGCTTTGTCCATTGTTCTGAGAGTCTACAGACTGCTTCCTAGAGGTAACCCCTCACCAGTCAGAGAGGGAGGATGCCAAAGTAAATCTCCACCATGTGCTTTCTCATATCTTATTTCTCTCCATTCATGGGTCTTCTTTTTCTCTTGATAGGACCAGAGGGCTGTAACCTGTTTATCTACCATCTGCCCCAGGAGTTTGGGGATGCTGAGCTGATGCAGATGTTCCTGCCTTTCGGTAATGTCATCTCCTCGAAAGTGTTTGTGGATCGGGCGACAAACCAAAGTAAATGCTTTGGTGGGTAAAGATAACAAAACAATTAGATTCATCCAGGAAAGGGCTTTCTCTGAATACTTTACCTTTCAAACTGCTTTCTTTCTGCTTAAGCTTTATGATTTCTCTCAATTTACTCCTGTCGATACTTTCCCCCTTCCCTCTTTCTCTCCTAATTGTCTCATGCTCAGAGTTGTGTGCGCTGCTTAGAGGTGAAGGTCTGACATCTCACCAACAGTGGGGGGCTGTGGCTGCAGTGGGGGGGGTGGAAAATATCCCCCTTGGAAGGGGAGGTGGGGACGGTACAGAAAAGGCTAAAAGCACATGAAGCAAAATGGGGGGGGCTGGGGCAGTAGGTGAAAATGTTGACAAGGTCAGCAGGAGGAGCATGTGGCAGAAGGGGAATTTCTGTACCTAAGGAAAAGGAAAGACAGGTCACGGTGTTGAAGGGAAAACAGAGCTGTGGGGACAGCTTTCCAGCAGCTGTGATACATTAGATTGCAAGGAGACAAGGCCTGAAAGCCTGGTCTTCTGTGGGGATGGCTGCTTGGTGCACCACAGGCAGCCTGTTCTGAGCCTGCTGGACCTGAGCCAGCACCACAGCAGATACAGGCAGCCCAAGGTAACCCTGTGCCTCAACTGAAAGGCTATGCTAAGAGGCCCGGCTTGAAAGCTGCACAGTTCTTACACAGCTCTGTCCTCTCTGTTAGCTCAACCCCACCAGCTGGATCATAGAACGAGCACAGCCTCAGCTGCCTGTGAGCCACCAGCTAGGGACACCCTGAGCTGTACCTACAACAGGAGGGCTCAGCCAGCCAACAGCCATGTGGTGTTGGCTGCTGTGGGATCCAGCCCAGTGATACCCCACTGTTTGCAAATGTGTTGCTGTGAAGGGTCCCCTCTGGAAGTGCGGCAACATGGGGACCCTACAACATATGATCCCATCCCACCCAGTAGAGCGGGAATCTCACCCATCTATGTGCCCACCACTGGGATGTGTAATTTCTGGTTCTCCGCCATCCTGCACTCTTCTCAGACCTTCCCTTAGAAATGCAAGGTTACAAACTGTTGCTTTTCTTTCCCTGTTTCTTGCAGCTTATCTGGACTTTGTCTCTCAAGCAGAGTTCCAGAATTAAGACTTATTAGAGTTTCATTTGATTTTAAAGCCACTCTCAGTCTTCACACTATGCCTTCTTCCATGCTACCTTCCCCTTTCCTCTCCTGGACAACCCATCTCCTAAACCCTCATCCCTTGCTAGCTATGGTGCATGTCATACAGTACTTCCAAGAGTTTCATGTCCCTTCTCTATGCACAGTTCCTCCTGCCCATACACAGAGGTTGTGAATGAGCTATTTTCCCCTTTGATTGAAGGAGCTCTGTCCCCTGATGTGAGAGGACACAACATTCCACTTCACCAGTAGTCACTGGATTGTTGCATTCTCAAGCACTAGAGGAATAAAGGACAAAGAGCTTGGTATGAAGAGTCAGTTGTGAAATTCAAATGAGAAATTATTAATTAGCCCCATTCTCTCCAGAGCCCACCTGCTTTTTAGAGCTTTAGCCATATAAAAGCTCATAACAAGATGAGCAGACCAGCACAGCTCTAGGTGACACTGAAAACTAATGGTTCAACAATATCCACGTGTTAGAAATGGACCTTTGGCAATGAAATTACCATTCCTGTCATAAATTTTCAGGGGACTAATAAGCCTGGTTCTCCACATATTGACAAGTAGGAAGACCAAAGGTAAATGAAGAAATTATGTGAGAGCTAAGTCTGGTAAGGGAGAGTAGCTTCTAGACAGGTATTCACTTCATGTATTCTTACCTTAAAGGCTTTCTGGCTACAGGGCTTCATGAGGACAACAACACATACCTAGGTTGTGGGCCAGGGTTGTGGGGCTAGATTTACTGCTGCTTCCAATGTACTGTGAGATCATGGCTGATAGCTGAGCAGGAATTGAGGGAACTTTGCAGAAAATTTTCTTAACATTGAGTCTTACTGGGAGAAACTAAACATCAGACGTTTGATAAAGTAAACTCCAAAACTAATGATGGGGTATTCACCCTGAAAGCAGGAAGGTTCCATTTGGATGTGTTGACTCAAGCATCCAGGCAAGCAAAAGCAGGGATTAGAGATTGCCAGTGCATTTAGTCACCTTATGTTAGCTTCTGAGACACAAATATCCAAATCCAGACAGTTCTGGGCCCCAGGGGTCAAGCTCCAGTTTTCTCTGGCTTTAACTTACTTTTCCATAGAACTGAGTGGCTGCTATGACCATTGGTCAAAATTGTTGACTGTGCTGCCATGTTCACCACCTCCAGAAGGATAGAAATAGCAGAAGTACAGGTAGGTAGTTATAACAAGTATGTCACGCTGCTCTTCAAAACCTCACACCCTGCTGACCTTCAACTTTAAAGCAATGTAAAAATGTGGAAGGTATTATAGAAAATCAGGCCTTTCGTTTTACTAAGTCCACTGAAGATGGCACTGATTATAATTTTTTGTTCAGTAAGTCAATTTTAAAAAAAAAAAAAAAAATTACTTTTTCCTAAAGGACAAGAAGGGATTTTGTTAACTTTGAAAATAAGAAAACTCTTTCCTTTTCTGCTTAAACATTTCCCAAAACTCAACATGTAAAAACATAGCATTTGCATTCTGTTTCACTTTTTTTTTAACCCAGCTAGAGCTCTCCAACTGGTAGCCTGGGGGGACAATTCTGTCTGGCCCCAGAAAGATATTCCACCATTATATGACCTTTTAAAATGTATCTGCTATGCAGATCCCAAGTAAATTGCTGTAACAGAGTCTAGCCCGAGGTTGTCGAGAAATTGTCAAGAAGTCCTGCTTTAGACAAACTTAAAAAAATTCTATGGAGAAAAATGTCACCATGTTTTTTTTTCTTTTTCTATGGGAACAGAAAATACTTCGTTTGCTGCTCTTGTCACTGTTGAACTAGCTGGCCCAAACTGAGTGAGTCAGTAGAGCAGCATGTCGAAACAGGACTTCTATTCCTTCCCATTTGGCTCCAAATTCTCCCCTGAATTTCCAACACAAAGTTACCTCCTTGGGCCACTACTGACAGGATAGTATAGGGGCAGTCATAACAATGTTAGGAAGAACGGAGGTCAGCCACAAACCTTTATCCTGGTTTCTGGAGTCCATGACACTGCATAGAATCACTAGCACCTGCACACACTGAAGAAACCATGCTGTGGTCATGAAGCCTTTGACTTTCTCAATTCAGAGGCCTCTGCCTCCTAGCTGAAAAGGAGCAGTGAGGAATGCAAGCTACAGCAAACACCAGTCTCACGTATAAATGTGCAAGTGGTCAAAATATATCTATTGTTTTCCATAGCAGGACTGTATAAGGCTTCCTGAGAAGTGAACCTGACTCCTCACTGAAAAAGGCTGTTTAAATTGGGAGGCTACATTGCCTTGGACTTTTCTTCTGCTGCACACACCCAGGATAGACACAAATCCTTCATTTTCTCTTACAATTATTAAAACCTCTGTCTTTTATTTCCCCCCTATCCTGATGTATCTGTAACATGGCCAAGTGCAGACCACACTTGTCCTTCCCACTCAACAACACCCTGTCTATCCCCATGACCAGAGGCTCCATCACACAAACCGTATCAGCAGCTACTTGAGTTTCTCCTCAGGCGTTGCCTTGTCCACCCTCTCTATTCAGACTTACTGATTTCACCTTCACAGCTCTTCACCGTTCTGCCCTTCTCTCTTCTTTCTCACTAGTCCTTCACCCAATGCCCATCTGACACCTGTAGCTTCTTCCCACGCACTTCTTTTACAACCAGCATGTTTGTTCTACTGGGCCACGCTGTCCATTTCCAGTGAAATGGCAGGATCACAGTACAAGTCATTGTCTCTCTCAGGGAAAAATTACACTTAGTCAGACACTACTTGAAGAGAGTGACTTCCATTCTCATAGCAGGCTGACCTAGAAAGTCTTGCACAGAGGCACAGTGTGCCACAGCCTGAATGTCAACTTCTGCAGGACCCTGGAGCTTGTCTCTGAGCAAGGCAAACACTGCACAGGGTCTCTCACTTTCCTACTGCAGGGCTGAAAGTTCTTCTGTGTGTAGCTATGCTAAATGTCAGAGGACATGAAATATATTTATCTGCTGGTCTCAATGGTTCTGGTGATTTCCTCTCAGTAATGCAGATAATTTAAATGTGATCAGTTTGTGTACAGACAAAAAGAAAACTTGAGTAAAATGACACTATTGTCTGCTAAGGCAAGTAGTCAATGTGAGAAGAGCTGTTATTCTCACTGCCCACACATGGCTAACTTTACCTCTATTGTAGGGTGACACTACAATAGAGTCCTAATTTCAGGAGCACTCACTGGTTTTGCACAAGACACATTTTAAGAAGGCATCTGGAGATGTTAAATTAGTGAAATACAGAGACAAGACATGTTCTAGGAAAATGTTTTAACAGAGAAAAGAGAGAAAAGGATAGATTTAGACAATATTAATTAGGAAGACATGACAGAAATTAGAAAAACGAGGACGTGGATGGAGCAGCAGAGGCCAAATGGTTACTCCAAGGTGTCACATAAGATGTAGATAAATTAAAGCTGGAGGAATTGCTTTTCTGGTGCACTTAGAAATTCATTCCTCCAGTCACCGCTTTCTGAGAGCAGTAAGCACCTGGATCTGTCTGCTCTGTGCATGCCATTGAGCAGCAGACACTGTCAGACCAGTTCTGCTCCTTGCACTCGCTTTGACCCTGACATCTGTCCTCTTGGCATGTGCCTGTTCCCCATATCTGCTGCTGTGGCAGCTTCAGCTTCTCCCCGTAGGACAATGACTCAGGGAGGCTGTGAAGAACCTCCCTTATGGCCACAGAGGCACTGTGGTTTCCCTCCACTCAGTTCAATGTGGTCTGACACCCCAGGTGTGAACAACCACAGATGCTGGATGTTTTTCTCCTTTTCTATGCATTTCAGATGGACTTTCACGGTGGCAGAAGGTATGTCCCACCCCTTTTTGAAAT